CCATTATGGTTACCGCATAAAAAAAACAGAATTAAAAAAAAAAGGGTAATCTGGTTGCCGAGCTCACGAAGTGAGTTGGCTTGTTTTACAACGTCGTTGCCAAGCGACGAAAACCCAATCCCGATGGCAAACACCGAGGGGGGGAGGGGGCTATCGTTGACTCCGGCATTGCATCTGGCATCTCTGTGCTGTTGTTCACACCAAGATGAATCTCCACCTTCGACCCTTTCCGCGAGAGAGAACAACGCGTATTCTCTATGCACCTTTGCCCGCACGAAACCACGCACGAAAATGTCGTGCGTACTGCTGTAGATCTCAATACTCATGCACCCTCGTACACCAGCAAACCGCACAACTGCTCTGCACACCCACAGCTCAAATAAATACGGTAGATACCGCCTATCGTCCAGCGATGCGCTTACCTCCCCCGTGGTCGAACCCTCCCCGGTGTTCTCCTCCTTCTGTCCGAGAAGCAGCCCCGACTTGGTCGTCGTCGCCTCCGGGTCCACCTATTTTTGTCGAACATTGTTTTTTGCGGGGGGAATACACACATTCGTAGGATATAGTGGATCCACCTTATTTGGTCCAACATGATTTTTGCGTTGGGAATACATACATACGTAGGATAAAGTGAATCCATCTTTTATGTCCACCATTGTTCTTGCTGGGGGAATACATACACACGTAGGATATAGAAGATCCATCTATTTGTGTCCACCATTTTGCGGGGAAATACGTACGTAGGACAAAGCGGGTCCGCCGTCTTTCCTCCAACATTTTGCAGGGGATACATACGTACGTCGGATACAGCGCCCCACCAGCAGGCAGCGGTACTATATAGGCTCACTGATAAGTTTTGCAGCCGGGAAAAGAGGCACGGGCAAGGGGAGCGAAGTCTTCTAGATTGACTGGCGTCCGGTCTGCAACACAGGAACGGGTCCCGCGGAAGGCCAACGTTGCTTGTGTGTACTCCCCAGAGTGCCAACGACACTCTCTAAATAATACAAGGGACTTGAGCCACTCCGCTTTTATTCGGAACGCTCTCGACAAGGGCCCGCGAGAGCGCGGTAACGAAGTACACGCGTTGACCCCCTAAACAAGCCTTTCGTTGGCTAGCGTCAACATCTGCACGGTATTGCGCCCTATAAGGCCCCTGAAACGGACGCACCGCCATTGGTCAAGTCTGCCCTCGCCAAATTTTTCATCCGGAAACAAGCACACACAAACGCACCGCAAAAAAAAAAAACGGCAGACACGCGACACCATCGAAGCACTGCACTAACGCGACGGCCGCCGTTCAGCGGCACACACACATCGCACAAAAAAGAAAAGAAAAAAAAGGGTACACCAACACATCGCACAATGAAGAAGAAAAAAAAAAGGGTACACCAACACCGCCACTGCCAAACGGCTCGCGCTGGCCGAGGAGCCCACTGCACCTTGACGAGGAGCTCGTCCCTGATCATCTTGATGGTGCTCGGCTCCATCCGCTCCCCCGAGTAGACGAAGAGGATGTCCTGGTCTCGCACGAACTGGTGGTCCGTCCCCACGTAGTCCACCGCCGTCCCGTCGAACTCGCCGTACAGAACCTGACAAGAAAAAAGAACAGAAAAGAAAAAGAAACAAAGAGAGCGAATCAACGAGAGACAGGAGGGCAGACAAGGTGCAGCTTACAGGACTGCCTACTCAGAGCAAGGGAGGGTAATATGAAAAAAGACCAGGCAGGGGGCACGCAGACTCTAACCCTAACCCCCGGCTTAGCTCTGGTTTTAACTTTACCCGTATGTTTGCTTACTTCGGAAAACCTTCGTACACTATTGGGCATTTTTAGGAAGAGCGGGGCGAGGGAAGGGTGGGATGGATGGGCGGACTGATTCATGCGTGACTGTGCCGCCGTCTTCGGCAAGGCATGCCAACAGCAGCAGGGTGGGGGCGGAAACTGTGTTTCGTCACGAACGCACGGTCATCATTGTGCAAAACAGTAGAGCTATAGCACTTCGTCCGGTAGCTCCGAATGACGCCTCCCCCCCACACCCTCGAAGGTATTGACTCATGTTTCCTCGAACGTTGCGAGGCGACTTCGTGGCCGATAATACTCGCTCGCGGCCTAAACCCTTTCGAACACGTGTTGACCCACCCTGTGCTGCCTCAGGAATAGCACAATCTGTCAAAAAAACGCTTCAGGGTCCCTCTCTCATCGACCGCGCAAAGAAGAGATCCACTTCTGGTTCACAAAAAACTCCATGGACACACCAGGAAACAATCCAGTCCACAAGACATCCGTCATGCGGTACGCCAACAGCAGCAAGAGCAAATGGCACCGACCTTACTTACCAATGCACGCAACAGCGAAAACTAACTCTTCCGTAGGGCTTCCCACCATACTGCCCGGCCGTCAAAACAGGACGGACGGCCTTCGCGAGAAACTGAGCTTATTAGGAAATAGCACAGGGAGGGGGCACGCAGACTGTATCCCAAGCCCTAACCCAACGTCCCCGATTGCATACTTTATCCAACATATTTACTTCGTCGAAAAGCCTTGAGAAGGCTGCTGAACAGGACCCCCTCCCCACACCCCCGGCATCCAAGTCATCACCAAAGCACACCTTGTCTCCCACGGCGCAAGGCATGTCCACGGGGACTCCCGTCTCGGGGTGCGTCTTTCCCGGCCCCATCGAAACAACGACCCCCTCCGTCGGCTTAACTTGGGCCTGCGGGGTGCGCGTTGAGGGCGACATGAGGAGAGACGAGGGTCAGGGTCAGGACGGTGCTGTGTTGCAGTTGCGGTTTGATTTGTTGTTGGGATGGGGGTGAAGACGCTCGAGGAATTGTGAGCCAATCACCAGGCATCCGTCGGTCGGCAAAGATGCTTGTGTCGCCGGCCGTTCTATTGTGTGTTCGGCGACACGCGCTGCACCTTGTACGGTTCCTCAAGCCCTATCGTAACTTCCGAGCCGCCAACACAACAGTCGCCATCCCTTCCAATCATCCCCTCTCTGCGGCTAAACTCGGGTTTCAGAAGTGGACTTCAAAGGTGGGGAAGTGATACGTTGTAGATAGGATGGGGAATTCGTTTTCGAGGCAACTTCAGGAAAGAAGGAAGGATCCAATGGCTATCGATGATCGGTCCTGCGGCAACGATGCTCCGTCCACTCGAGGACGCGCGACCAACGGTCAAACATCTAACGACTAAGGAGTGCAACACATGAGTACCCGCCCCCCCCCCCCCCCCCCCCGCCGGTGCCCNCAACGACGTTGTAAAACAAGACCCCCCGTCGGTGTTTGCCATCGGGATTGGGTTTTCGTCGCTTGGCAACAACGTTGTAAAACAAGCCAACTCACTTCGTGAGCTCGGCAAAGAGGTTACCGTGTATTTTTTTTACCTCTTTTGGCGGTAACCATAATGGTGGTCGAGTGGATCATGTTGTGCGGGGTCGAGAACCCTCACTCCGCGCAGGGGGATGATCGCACCACGTTGTGTTAAAATGGTCAAGCACCCTCGAGGCAGTTACACAGTGCTTACAACTGTCTCTGGAAGTGAAGTACCAGAAAATAGTCATGCGCAGCTGTCATTCGTACGCAAGGATTTAAGCACAAGATGCCGAACACCCTTAGCAGGATGCAGCGCACCCTTCATGCGACTCGCCGAAT